TTGGACACAACTAAATGACTAAACAAGAACAAAAACATTTTAAACATTTGCCTTCTGGCGATTCCCTCACTGCAAGAAGCCAAGTTACAGGGAACCAGGCAGAGGGCCTTCTCAGAAGTGGGGCCTGCCCTGTGGAACGCCCTCCCACCAGATGTCAAGGAAATTAACATCTGACTTTTAGAAAACATCTGAAGGCAGCCCTGTTTATGTTTATGTTTATGTTTAATAGACTATTATATTTTAAGATTCTGTTGAAAGCCGCCCAGAGTGGCTAGGGAAACCCAGCCAGATGGGCGGGGTATAAATAATAAATTATTATTATTATTATTATTATTATTATTATTATTACCTTTCCCACTTCCAACATTCAGTTTCATTGGGTTCCCATGGGTTCTAGTGTTATGGGAGAGAGAGATCAGCTTCTCTCTCTTACTCACATTTTCCCTGAACTAAATAGCCTCTAAATAACCTTTCCTCATCGGGGAGCCATTCCACCGCCTCCATCATTTTGGTTGCCCTTTTCTGAACCTTGGGCCGAGGGGAGTTGCAGCCCCAAGCATCCAGAGGGCACCAGGTTGGAGAAGCCTGTTGTGGACACAGAACGATATGACTAAGGCCCTCCAGCTTCAAGGCTCCTCTAATGTCCTTAGATAACCCACCACCACCTGCCACTGTAAGTGGTGCAAACCACAGACAGGTTTCCCCACATCTTCTGCTCTTTGTGAAAATTAGGCTTGAAATGATCGTTCCCTGTGTTGAAATAGGACTTTAATTTCTTGGGTTATCTCTTTTTTTAACCACCCTGTCCCCAAAGGCAGAGTATTAACCTAGTAATCAGAACGTTCTAAGGAAACTACAATTAAGACAACATATGCTAAAAGATACTTTTGTGGCATGCCGGTCAGCTGAACGATGGGATGCGCTTGAACAGATAGACTACAAAACATACACTCCAACATTTCTCCAATGAAAACAAGGACGTCCTAAGGAAAAGAGGGACATTCCAGGGTTAAATAATAAACCAGGATGGCTTCTGTAAACCCAGAACTGTCCCTGGAAAACAGGGGCACTTGGAGGGTCTGCACAGACATTTTGCAACGAGGTTTTGAAGTTAGGCTCACTGCCTAGAGCATAAGACAGCGAGTTGGGCATGAGATGTGCAGCTAAAAAGCTAATAATGTGCAAATCATTAGGCACGCAAATGCTAGACAATGGACAGAGACCACACAGTTAAGAGTAGAATGCACTCAGTTTCCATACCTCAAATAAGTTGTTCCCAAGGAGCCTTTTAGGGGAATATTTAAAAAATGGCAGCTATATTTTAAAGTTGGCCATGATCAGGGGCAAGGGAAGATCTGTATCTCAGTGACAGAAGGTTCCAGGTTCAATCCCTGGTGGGGATGGGGAAGAAATTCAGTTCTGATCTATTGGCAATTCCACCTAAGTTGCTCTTTGCAAAACAATATAGCAAAATTCTCCAGGCAAGTAAAGTGTACTAGAGCATACCCTACAGCAAAGTGTGCATATCAATGCATATACTTGTGAAAATTGCACCCCAAATCCATTATAATAGGGAAATCACTTTGCCAAAAAAGTACCATACCTTAGGTAAAATTGCATAGAAAATTATATATATATGGGGGGGGGTGCACTAAATTGCTAGAGAATTTTCTTGAAGACTTTTTCTATCAGCATATGGATTGTTATGTATATATTAGATATCAATGTGTGACAAGCATTGAAAAATGTTTTTAAAAGAAAAAGAAAAACCGTAAGGGAATTCATTTGAATTTTGAGCTCTTGGTTCCGTGCTGCCCTTATTTCAGTATTATCTATTGCTCCCTTCAGCTAAAGGTCTGAAATGGTTCTTTCAGCATATGAGTGTCTAGCTCATAGTTGCACTGCATCATCAGTTCTGTAGTCTTAATGGATTGCTTATAGTTGCACTGCATCATCAGTTCTGTAGTCTTAATGGATTGCTTATAGTTGCACTGCATCATCAGTACAGTGTAGTCTTACCGGATTGCTTACAGTTGCACTGCATCATTAGTTCTGTAGTCTTAATGGATTGCTTATAGTTGCACTGCATCATCAGTTCTGAAGTCTTAATGGATTGCTTATAGTTGCACTGCATCATAGATCCTGTAGACTTAAGGCAGCACAAACAGCTATGCTTTTGTGTAACGGTGCTTACAGAATGCTTGTTTTACAGGTGAATGAATCGAAAAGTCCGAACATAAAAGCGTCTGCGGAAAAAGTGTACAATGGACTGAAATGGTATAGAATTAGCTGCTCAGCCCATCCCTAGGCTGCAATATAGGAAGCTGCCTTAGATGCAAACAGACCCTTTGTCCATGTAGCTAAATGATGCCTACACTGACTGGCAGGTGTTTCAGACAAGGCACTATCAACCCTACCTGGCAATGCCAGAGACTGAATCTAGGACGTTCTGCGTGTGAATCACTGAGCTACATCAAAATACCTCAGGTGTACTCACATCCCACATTCAGGACCGGACCACTATAACATTTGTGGTAAATGTCACAGAACAGAAGGGAAAGCTCTCCTTTCCACAAATTCCAGAATGTCGAGTTTTCGTGAGACAGGTTGAGTAAACATAATAGCGGATTAATAAGTCGACAAGATAAACTGTTGTTGTTTTTTTCTTCTTCCCACTTCAGGACCGAAGGAATGTGTTCCCTAATTTGCCAGCAGCCAACAGCATTGAAAGGAAGATTCTTTTTAATGACAAGTTAGAGGGGGGAAATTGCAGGAAACACTACCGGGTAGGACACTATTATTTTTCCACGTAACGTGCCATCACTGCAAGGCTTGGAAGCAGTATATAAGGTCTCCTTTCCCAGTTGTTATCAACCTGCTGGACTGTTAAGTCATCTATTCTAGAAGGAGCAGAGGGTAAGTAACATTTCAACAACTTTAGCAGGGAAGGGTCATAGCTTGGTGGCAGAACGTCTGCTTGGCATGTAGAAGTTCAACCCCCAATTGCATCTCTGCGTTGGGCTGACAATTGCCCCCTGCCAGAAACTCAGGGGAGCCACTGGTCATCATTGGAGACAATACTAAGCTATATGGACCAAGGGACTCAGTCGAAGGCAGATTCCTTTGTTTCTAGGCAGATAATCCTTTGGACCTCTAGATATCATTAGATCAGGACTCCCATCAGCCACTTCTGCAGAGGCAATTGAATCGACTGAATTAATTCAGCTCTGTAATTAGATTTGTGTGAGAGTTCATCATCATCATCATCATCATCATCAAACCTTTATTGGCATCACTTACAAACATTCAGAATAGATAGGCCAGTGTGATCTCGTTGCCATTTCAACAGTACAGTCATTTGCCAAAGGGAAGACGAGGTGAGCAATCTATTTCATCTCTGTGGGTCTCCAGCAAGGGCAGGAGCCTGTGGCATACTTTGGCTGCAAAAAAATCAAATAGAGGAACTTAGCTACTGTCTTGGTGAGCTCCTGGTCTCTCCCCTGTAATAAGAAGCGTATAACTTCTGTCTCTGGTTTCCATGTTGGAATACATAGATGGTCTAGAAATTGTTGGCGGAGATCATACATTTTACATTTAAGGGCCACGTGAGCTAGAGTTTCCACCAGGTGGGCATCGCATGGGCAGATCCTACCTCCTTCTGCCAAACCCGCAAACCTATCCCAAAGGAGGTTAGAAGGATTAGAATTGAACCTAGCCAGCAAACAGGCTCTTCTTTCTTGCGGATTGAACAAAAATTGTAAATAATTAAGGTTAAATTCCTGCGCCCAAGAGAGTCAAAAATAAAGAGGGGGACATGTTTTTTCTGCAGATGAGATTAGTTCCTGGCGATCTATGTCTGTGGGAGAGTTGTAGAGCATCTGCTTTGTGTCACAAGTTCAATCTTCTGCATCTCATAGAATCATAGGCAGGATCCCTGAGGATCTTCTAGTCCAGGGTTCCCCAAACTTGGGTCTCCAGCTGTTTGGGGGCTACAGTTGGATGGATGGTGGCTAATGGATTGACAAGACAGAAGTACTGTTTTTGGGGGACAGGGGGCGGGCGGGTGTGGAGGACTCCCTGGTCCTAAATGGGGTAACTGTGCCCCAGAAGGACCAGGTGCACAGCCAGGGAGTCATTTTGGACTCACAGCTGTCCATGGAGGCGCAGGTTACTTCTGTATCCAGGGCAGCTGTCTACCAGCTCCACCTGGAACACAGGCTGAGACCCTACCTGCCCGCAGACTGTCTTGCCAGAGTCGTGCATGCTCTAGTTATCTCCTGCTTGGACTACAGCAATGCACTCTGTGTGGGGCTACCTTTGAAGGTGACCCGGAAACTACAACCAATCCAGAATACAGCAGCTAGACTGGTGACTGGGAGCAGCCGCCGAGACCAAATGTACACTGGCTCCCAGTACGTTTCTGAGCACAATTCAAAGTGTTGGTGCTGACCTTTCAAGCCCTAAACGGCCTCAGTCCAGTATATCTGAAGGAGCATCTCCACCCCCATCGTTCAGCCGGGACACTGAGGTCCAGCTCTGAGGGCCTTCTGGCAGTTCCCTCCCTGCGAGAAGCCAAGTTACAGGGAACCAGGCAGAGGGCCTTCTCGGTGGTGGCACCTGCCCTGTGGAACACCCTCCCATCAGATGTCAAAGAGATAAACAACTACCTGACATTCAGAAAACATCTTAAGGCAACCCTGTTCAGGGAAGTTTTTAATGTATGACATATTAGTGTATTTTTGGTATTTATGGAAGCCGCCCAGAGTGGCTAGGGAAACCCAGCCAGATGGACGGGGTACAAATAAATTATTATTATTATTATTATTATTATTATTATTCATCTTCCCTATTATTATACATCTTCCCTATTATTTCCATCTTCCCTGGCCACTGGTCCTGCTAACTAGGGATGATGGGAGTTGTAGTCCAAAAACAGCTGGAGACCCAAGTTTCAGAAACCTTGATCTAGTCCAATCCCTTGCGATGCAGGAATACGAAGCTATCCCTTACGGGAATCGAACCTGCAACCTTGGCGTTATCAGCCCCACACTCTCACCAACTTTGCTGAAGGGCTGGAGAAGATTCCCCTTCTGAAATCCTGGCACGCTGTTGCTGATCAGTGTAGAGAAGACTGAGCTAGAAGGGCCAATGGGCTGATTCATTTCAAGGCAGCTTCCTATACTCTGTCCTCCCTCCTCTGCCTATGTGCTAAATGTTTTGCGACATGGGGGAATAATGGGGAGATTTATTACTTGGTGAGCAGCAATGCCCGTCATTGTGATTGCGCACGGGGTTGTGGAGTTTGTTTGCTTGCTTGTTCATTAAGAATTATATCCCATGGGATGTTGGACCATGACAGATCCAACAGGCTCTTTGTATGTTTCCCCTCCTTCTACAGTGTGGACTTTGCTAGTTGCCTTTTCATGGGGCTGTGCAGGTTATATAGATAGATAGATAGATAGATAGATAGATAGATAGATAGATAGCGCGAGTGTATCTGCTTAGCCAGATTAAGGGCAGAGCCAAGTGGGTGCAGGATTGAGAAGATCCATAATTGAGACTATTCATTTGGGGGAGCCATATTATGCTAGCTTACCTCTCTTTGGGACTCTCCTTTTCTGCCTACTCCATACAGTTGGGTTATGATAATAGGCTTTCCAGAGTGGGGTTTCGCTTGGCATTTTCTTTGGGCAGGCAAAATAATTTTAAGAATTATGAACAGACATCTTGAGTTATGATTGGGTTCGGGGTGGTCTCTAGTCACCTTCCACAGCCTTTGGCTTTGGGATCCTGGGGGGCGGGGGGTGCATGCTATGGGCCCTGGCCAGGGGCATCTTGGATAGCAGGGGCAGGGTGCATGTGTCAATGTCACATACACAAAGCTCAGTGCCGTTCCAATTCTGGGTGACCCCAGAAATAATAATAATAATAATAATAATAATAATAATAATAATAATAATAATAATTTATTATTTATACCCTGCCCATCTGGCTGAGTTTCCCCAGCCACTCTGGGCAGCTTCCAATCAAGTGTTAAAAACAGTACAGCATTGAAAATGAAAAACTTCCCTAAAGAAGGCTGCCTTCAGATGTCTTTTAAAGATAAGATAGCTGCTTATTTCCTTCACATCTGAAGGCAGGGCGTTCCACAGGGCAGGTGCCACTACCGAGAAGGCCCTCTGTCTGGTTCCCTGTAACCTGACTACTCACAATGAGGGGACCACCAGAAGGCCCTCGGAGCTGGACCTCAGTGTCCGGGCTGAACAATGGGGATGGAGACGCTCCTTCAGGTATACAGGACCGAGGCCGTTTAGGGCTTTAAAGGTCAGCACCAACGCTTTAAATTGTGCTTGGAAACGTACTGGGAGCCAATGTAGGTCTTTCAAGACCAGTGTTATGTGGTCTCGGCGGCCGCCCCCAGTCACCAGTCTAGCTGCCGCATTCTGGATTAGTTGTAGTTTCCAGGTCACCTTCAAAGGTAGCCCCACATAGAGTGTATTGCAGTAGTCCAAGTGGGAGATAACCAGAGCATGCACCACTCTGGCGAGACAGTCCGCAGGCAGATAGGGTCTCAGCCTGCATACCAGATGGAGCTGGTAAACACAGAATTGGACACAGAATTGACCTGCACCTCCACGGATAGCTGTGAGTCCAAAATGACTCCCAGGCTGCGCACCTGGTCCTTCAGGGGCACAGTTACCCCATTCAGGACCAGGGAGTCCCCCACACCCGCCCACCTCCTGTCCCCCAAAAACAGTACTTCTGTCTTGTCAGGATTCAACCTCAATCTGTTAGCCGCCATCCATCCTCCAACCGCCTCCAGGCACTCACACAGGACCTTCACCACCTTCACTGGTTCTGATTTCAAAAAGAGGTAGAAAACATGTCCAGGGGATGGGAATGATATACCTGTTCTGTGTGTGACACAAACCCATCTGCCCAGATGGTTATCACTGAGTTAACAGGCCATGCAGATTGTCTAATTTGTCTTCGTTCAAGATGTGCAGAGATTAGGACTTTTCATATGTAAGTCTTGGTTTCAATGATGGCAGTGGTGGTGATTCCTTCTTCGATTATACCTTGCGCCTTCCTACAAAGGAGCCCAGGGCAGCCAATATATCAACAGTAATACAATTGAAAGATAGCCTTCTAAAAAGAGTATAAAACTCCTAAAAGCAAGCATATACTCTCAAACTAATAATTTCAGGGTTGCCAGGGACAGAAGTCTCAGCAAACAGGCAAGTTTTTCAATTTCCTCCTAAATAACACTGTTGTGTACCAACTTGCTACTAATAGGCTTAAGGTGGACTACAATGACCAGTTGCTGGCATCTGCAAGAGGGAAGAGGGCTTTGCTGTTTGGGTCCTCCTTGGAGATTTCTCACAGGCATCTGGTGGGTCACTGTGAGGACAGGATGCTCAGATAGATGGGCCATTGGCCTGATCCACGAGGATTCTTCATATGTTCTTATGTATGTTAATTTAAGATCTACAACGAGGATAGCTGATGTGGTTTCCCCCAGAGGTTGTTGGGTTCCACCTCTCAGCATTGCTGATAATCACTTGTGCCAAAGGGAGGGTGAAACGGATTATAGAGATGAGGTGGAGCGGCTGACAGAGTGGTGCAGAGCTAACAACTTGCTCATAAATACAAGGAAGACAAAGGAGCTTGTGGTGGACTTCAGGAGACAGAAGAGCAACGTCCAGCCACTTTTGATTGATGGGGTCTGTGTGGAGAGGGTAACAACGTTCAGATTTTGGGGCATTGAATTACAAGAGGATCTGTCCTGGAGTGTCAACACAAGGGGGCTTGTGAAGAAGGCGCAGCAGAGACTGTACTTTCTGAGAATACTAAGGAAAAACCATCTTCCGCAGAAACTGCTGCTTGCCTTCTATCACTGTGCCATTGAGAGCGTGCTCACTTATGGCTTATGTGTGTGGTACGGAAGCTGTACTACCCAGGACAGGATGGGGTTGTGCAGGGTTGTTAAGGCAGCAGAGAGCATTGTTGGCTGCCCACTCTCCACCTTAGAGCAGATTTATGCCACAAGGTGCCATAGGAAGGCACTGGACATAGTAAAAGATCCATCGCATCCTGGTCACTGTCTCTTCGAGCTCTTGCCGTCGGGACGGAGATACAGGACGATGAAGACAAGACAGAGCCGTCTTAAGAACAGCTTCTTCTCCAGAGCGATCTCGGCCCTGAATGGGAAGCCCGGACTTTGAAAGTCATCTAATCTCCCTTGCTGTATTATACTGTATTGATTAATTAGTGTTTTTATGGAGCAGTCAAGTAATTTTGTTGTCCCCGAAGGGGGCAATGACAATAAAGATATTATTATTATTATTATTATTCCAGCAGCATCTAGAACCATGTGGGCTCCCTGCATCAATTAAGGAGATAGAGGAAGAATAGGAAAATAGGAAAATTACCAACTCATTGATACTGGGCCAAAAGCAAAGGCTACAGGGGCTGCGAGAACACTAATTGCCAAAAATTGGGGGGAAAAATGACACCAACAAAAAAAGAATGGCAGGATAATTTACTGGAATATATCAAGCTGGCCAGACTAACAGAGGCAATTATGGGTCAATCCAAGCAAAAATTTCAAAAAGAATGGGAGAAATGTGGAGAATACCTTAAAAAGCAGTGTCCCCAAATTAATACTTGGACTTGTTTTGATTAACTTCTGCAAGATGATTTGCAAGATGACCTGGAAGCAAAGAAACAAAGTGAGGTTTGGCCGAAGGGGGCAGTCTCCTTCCCCTCGCCCTCACCCCGCCCCCCGCCGGCCCTCCATTGTCCTCCCAGGCCAGGGGCGGGACTTTAGCCAGTCTAACCCAGGTGGGAGGCACTGGGCCAGGTAAGCCCAGCTGGTGTCGCAAACCCTGCCCACCTGCTGGGAAGGAAGGGCGGAAATTGTGATACTTAGGTTTTTAAGTGTTAAAAAAGGAGTAATGATAAACTATGAAAGAGACAGATTATTAGAAATGAAAAAGAAAATTGTGTAAAGGATGCAGGAAGTCAAATGGAAGAAAAGAAGAATGGAAATAGGGTATACATATATTGTTCAGTATTCTGTTGTTTGCTGTTCTTTGTTTTGTTCTTTTTTTTGTTTTATTTGTGTGTGGTGTTTGCGAGGGGTTGATTTTGTTGCTGTTCTTTGCTATGTGTTTATGTTGTAAATAAATTCAATTAAAAAAAATAATTTTTTTAAAAAAGAAAAGGCTGCAATCCAAATATTCGTTCGCCTGCAAATAAGTCCACTTGGATAACTTCCAAGGAGGCATTTATGGGATTGCACTAAAAGGCTGCAACTCTTCAGAGACTTTCCTAGGAGTCTCTTTCCATAGGGCATGTCTTTGGAGAAAAGTAGAACTGCACCACAAAAGGAGTGATTGTTTGATTTGCAAATGATTGTGTCAGTATCTGGCTATATACAGGACGTTTCCATTGGTCTCTAAAACTGAGCTCCTTCTTCCTTTCAGGTTCTTTGTACCACAACCACCCAGTAAAGAAAGATGGAATTCCTTCACTCGTATCCAGAACTCATCGATGTCTCTGGCCCCATCTTGCTGGACACTGGCACCACTGTCCTGATCAAGCAGAGCCCAGAATGCCTACCTACCAAGGCTCCTTACTGCGTCCAGCCATCCCACGCCCAGTCCATCCACATCCCGCCTTCTAAATATTTCGACCCCTGCGCGAAGTCCTGTCACCCTCGGTGTCTGACTCCCTGCAAGTCCATCTGCGGACCTCAGTCCTGCGGAATATGCCCTTCTAAATGCGTTCCCATCTACGGGGGACCGCAGTGCGTCTCTCCATGCTATCCACTCTGCAGGCGTCCCTGCTTGCCTCAGTGTCTCCCTCCGTGCCGCCCCATCTGTGGGTATCCGTGCCAGCCTCAGTGTGGCCCTTGCGGCTCGATCTGTGTGAGACCGCAGTGCGTCTCTCCATGCTATCCTATCTACAGAAACCCATGCCTGTCCCCATGCTTGTCTCCATGCCGACCCATCTGTGGCTATCCATGTGCCCCTCAATGTGTGTACCCCAGGCCAGGGATCTGTCTCCAAC